GTTTAGTGTGTATGGTTGATATTAGAAATCGTGCGTGACCGTAGGTATATCCCAAAACAGAATTCCCAGGGTTTGGGTCTGTGGGTGTCCATCAACATCGGGCACGGGTAGTTTTGACTTATATCACATTGGAACCCCCAGCCCTAAATCCGGAATCCTGAACCCTAAACCCTAAATCCTGAACCCTAAACAGTAAGCTCTAAATTCTAAGCCCTAAACACTAAACCCCCAACCCCAAACCCTAAACCCTAAACTCTTCCCAGCGTCGCCCCTGCAGGACTTTGCCTCTTGGCCTCTGGAGGAAGGACTGGAGCGTCTCCGTTCCCATGCTCGCACGAAGGCGAAGTGCAGAAACGAGTTTAGGGTTTAGAGTAGAGTCAGGGTTCAGGGTTCAGGGTTTAGGGTTTAGGGTTTGGGGTTTATGCTTTAAGGCATTTTCAATTTAGGGAGAAGAGGGGCTGGAGCATATTATATGGAGATATATGAGAGGTACCTTTCCTCTAACCAGAGGAGAGATTAAGGGAGAGTATGTAGGGATATACAGGGATGTTCGGGGATATGATGGGTTTGGGTTATGTGCTCCCCCAATCTAGCATGAAAGTTTCATACAGGCCCGAGCACGACTACTGTCCTCTTCAAAGGGGGCCCCATGAAGTTCCAAGCTAGTATGAGGAGAGCAATTTGAGGTTCATGGAATAAGTTGGTTCAGCATGGCTCAAGTTACAATTCAGATAGCAGGTTTCTGGGGTTACCTCCCAATATAGATGCCTAAGTACTATGACGCGTATGATATGGACATAAAAAGGGAACCCTGATTTTCGGAAGTTCCATTTATAGCCCGACTCACAACTTCCCACAAAGCTCACCGTGCTGTGCTGGCAGTAGGATGAGAAACTGTTACATTCCACCGGGGCAACATGAAACCCCAAACACAATGACGGAGAAGCAACATGGAAAAGAACATCGACAACGACATGGAAGCTGGCTTTATCTAGGGATTAAAAGAAGTCCTCCCCTGGCATTTAAGCCGCTCGTGTTGAGTATTCCCACTGTGGCATAGTAATTATGAGATATTGGGAATATGTAATATGATAGGGGGGAGTGTGAAATCATTGCTCGGAGGCGGTTAACATGAAACCCGAACAGAACACTGTGAAGACAAATGCCGAAGGCGGAGATAAGGTTTCATGCTTGTTTGGGGGTTGGTATGCCAACGCCTTGTACCCTGAACGCACGGTCGACGGTTTTCGAGTATGATGGCTTGGAGCAGTTTACTCGGATTCTGCAGCTTCTGGCAAGGGCCTCTAAGTTCGACAGCTTACCATCTAATCCTATAGAGCCCCAAGAATGGTACGTGCAGTACTTTGGGTATGCTACGTGGTGCAAGATTTCGCCCATCCCCCGTGGATAAAAGTTCATCAGCCGACCTAAACCCTTACCCCTAAACCCCGCTTTGAACACAAAGGCTCTGTGTAGGTTCTCTCCCAAACTTTTTCCAAATGCTAGAGAAATCGTGAAACTCCAAGGCCTGAACTCTAAGCCTAAGAACCACTGCTGAGATGGGTCCACTTTCCACGAAGTGGGGAAATGTCCAAATTCCTCAGCCCAAAGAAAGCCCTAAACCCTGACCCCTAAATACCCCCAGACGTTGCATCCCTTTGCATAAGGATCCCAGAACAAGGGGACCCCTAACTGTAGGAACCGCCAGCTTTTGAATTCCAAAGTTCACGTTTTAGGGACTCGGGTTTAGGGGGAATGGGCACTATGGCATAGGGATTGGGGTGTCTAGGGATAAGGGTTTGGGGTTTAGGAATTAAAGTGTAGGGATGAGGGTGCAGGGATTAGGGTTCGGGAGTTAGGGTTTGGGGTTTAGGAATTAGGGTTTAGGGTTTAGGGTGTAGGTTGCAGGGTTTCTCCGACCAGAGGCACGGCAGCGCCGCTTCCGGCGATTTCCGGATGTGACGCTGGTGCCCCTGACGACATGGGATTTCATCCTAAACCCCCAAGCTGGATCAATGTTAGAGATCCTTATACTTTTGGGGGCATGGGAGCCCTTATATTTATGTAAAAAGGATCCTGTTCTCTTCCTAGGCCATGTGGGCTAAGTAAACCTGAAACCTCGAAAGGAGATGGTTTTGGGTTCAGGTTTTGGTGTCTAAGGTTTAAGTTCAGGGTTTAGGGCGAGTCTCTCGAGACTGCCTATATGGAATTTTGCATCGTAGGGTTATTGTGGATCCTTTGTGCGCCCCATATACTTGTAAGGTTTCCAACAGCCGTTGGAAGAACAATTTCTTTTAGGGAAGATGATGCACCAACGAAACCAATGATGGTGGATGTAGGATTCAGGGCATAAATTAGGGTTTAGGGTTTAGGGTTGAGGGCTGGGTAGTCTGAGCCCCGCCCATGGGTCAATATCCCAGGGTCACTTTCAGTTGGTGTGCCTAAACTATATTTCGTTCGTGGTTCATACAGTTTATGAGCCAGGAGGCTTCGATTGAAAAAGTGGTGGTTCCTGGACGACAGGCTACTTGTCGGTGGGTTTTGGGTTTAGAGCCTTGAGGTTCAGGCTTCAAAAACTTTGGATTTGTACTCTTAGACTCTTGGGGTTGTGACCATGGGTTTTGGTTCCTAGATACTCTAATTAGCACCCTGAATCCCGAGCCATCTATCCGTGGATTGCTTTTTTAATGCATAATGCGAGTCACCTTATGTGACTTCTTTGATGTGAACCTCCGAAATAAAGGCATCCACAGCAGTTTAATCAAATGCCCAAACTCTATGCCCACAACCTAAAACCCCAAAAACCAGCGCCAAAAGCGTAAACTCCAAAACCGAAACTCTGACTCAACACTGAACGCAGGCCCAAATTCCCAAGTCCTACCCCTAAATCCTAAAGCCCACACCCCAACACCTAAACCCTAAATCCTAAGCCCCAAACCCTCAATCCTAAACCTTAAATCCCAAGCCCTAACCCCTCCGACGCTGCCAGGTGCTAAGCTACTGTCGAGAAGACCTGCAGTGGATGAACGCATCCTTCAGTCGGAAAGTACCTTGGCTTAGGTTTTGAGGTTTAGGGTTACAGGTTTATTACCATCACTTAGGGTTTGGGGGCGGATTTTTGAATTTGAAATTTTGAGATTCAGGAAATTTGGACAATGGGGCCCTGAGTGATGGCAGGGTCTAGGAATTAGGGTCTAGAGTCCAGAGTTTAGGATTTGGGGGTTCCCGTTTACACCCTCAACTTTTTTCCTGTTTTGGAGGCCTTTTAATGTAAGGTTGCAGCAGATAGGATCCCCAAGAATACAATGATCTTCAAGGTATAGAGTATACAAGGTGTTGCAAGATCATTTCAACTCCTTTATTCCCAGGTTATTGAGATCCTAGGTTATGCCTTCTGTGGATGTGGTCGTCGTGGCCAAGTGCCTTTGCTCTCACAATTGTGTTCCGGGTTCCACGGGCGTTTTTTAACCCTAAAAAACTTTAAGCCCACATTATAACCACCTTTATGATTTTTCGAAATAACTTAGGTTAAGTGGGCTGTAATCCATAGTGGAAGGATCCCTGAACCCCACACCCTAGGGTTTAGAGTCTAGGATTTAGGGTTTAGGGTTTAGGGTTTAGGGTACAAAGGAACTTCCGGAGGGCTGGTGCTTTAGTTCGCAGGCGACAGGGTTTCGGGTTTCGTGATGGGGGTATGGCTTGCGGCTGGCCAGCCCTTAAGAAGCCCTATACCTCCCCATATTGCTGCCATAGCGCTTCAGGGTTTAGGGTTAAGGGGTTTAGGGTTTGAGGTTGAGGGTTTAGGGCTAGGGGGTGTAGGGTTTAGAGTTTATAATCCCCATATCATCCTCATAGAACCCCAGATAACCTCATGTAAGCCCTAGACCTTCTCTCACTTCACTCGCAAAAGCCGAAGTTCGGCAAGCACAGAGGTGTGTAGGTGTGGACGCAGCAAGCGCGGTACCGTTCCGATCCCTCTGGCGGTCTGCTGCTCGGTTGCTGCTAAGGAACTTAAGCCAAGATAATAGAACAACGAAACCTCATGGTTTATTTTGTACCCATACTAGAACGAAACAATAGTCGTTACCACATGCCCATATCATAAGGAAACCCTATTTTATGTTATATACCCACATTATAAGGAAACCTTGCCATTTGTTATATACGCATATATGCCCATGTTATGGTAACTTCCCTAAACCCTAACCCCGAGCCTCTAAACCCTGAACCCTAAACCCGCTAAGTTCATTAACCACAACCCAGGTTGAGCAGCTGGATGTCGAAGACCTGCCACTACGGGCCGATGAGTGCTCTGCGCATCTGGGCGTCTGCTGGGGGTTAAGGGGTTTGGGGTTTAGGGGTTTGGGGTTTAGGGTTTATGGTATTTAGGTATTGAGGTTTAGGGTGTAGGGGTTTAGGTTCAGGGTTTAGGGCTTTGGGTCCGTGGGTTGGAGCCCAGGGTTCAGGGTTTACAGCAAGGTTCAGGGCGTGGTCAGGATCGGCTTTCGGCTTCGGTTTCCTTTAGAGTTCTCGCAAAGGTGCCTAATTTCCGTTCAGGAAGCAGAAAAAACACCTCGCCCTAACAAGAAACCTTTCAACCCACAACAATAAAAGCGAAAAAATATTTATTCCCGCCAATACATTCTATGGTGCTCAATTGCGGGTATTTCACGTTTATGGAGATCGGTGTTTCTTCGGGTTGAAGAGAATGAATCGGACCTAAACCGTAAACCCTAAAGCTTGAAACCTAAACCCTATAGCCTCGCCTGAGCCTGCAGGAAGGGTTCCCGAATCATCATGGGCGCCTTAACCCCCACCCCCTTAACTTGTCTCAGTTTATTGACCGATATTATGCTAGCCATTTTTTGATTTCTTGTGATTTTTGGGATCGTTCCTCAGGCTTAATTTCGCCCTACACTGACACCTAAGCCCTAAACCTTGAACCATACCCAAGGTATCTGGGCTACTTAGCAGAGAAATACTACGACTTGCCTCGGCACATGATTTTCATACACGCAGACATGCCGGAGCACATTGGTGCGGGAAGGCCGAACATTGTGGACGACACGCTCTGAGGATCAAATGAGTAGCATTTTGGGTTTGTTTTCTGGAAAAAAGGGTGGCGGTTTGAGTTTGAGGCCTGTCGTTTTTTTCTCTCATAGGTCTGGGTGTTTGTTCCTTCTAGTGACAGGCATTGGAAATTCTGGCCTGCTGTACAGATATGTTTGTGTCGCTGAATTTGTTCCATAGCGCTAGAAACTTGTGTCTGGCTTTTGCAGCCCTAGCTTTCATGGCTAGTTCCAGAAACTGTTATGCTTTGGTGCTTGTTTTCAGGAACCTCCTTTGTATTCAGAGATCTTTTTCACATCCAGGGGGCCAAGCAAATATTTTTCGTGATGGATTGCAGAGTAGCTTATGTCAATCCCCCTATAGTAATAGCTCCTTAATATGGAGGTAACAGGGCCCTAATATACCTGCCATGGTGCCCTGTGATACCCATTCCTGGGTGGGGGACTGACCCAAAGAGTGGCCAAGAAAACGCTGAACTGTGGAGAGATCCTTTCAGCCACCTGTTCACTGGCATTGTATCACCATATGAGAGTCTAAAGGGTGTTTTTGGGGGATTTTATAGGTGACTACCATAAGCGTTACAAACGGGGATACTATAGCAGTGTAGACGATGGCTCACACAATCCGAGCTCTGTAGGGGTTCAGGGTTCTCACTGAAGAGAGGCCCTCTCACGCAGCTCGGCAAGGGGTAGCTCAGGAAGCAAAACTTGAGCCACTACTTCGTAATCAACGTTAGTTAGCAAATTATAGTCCCCCTTAAGTAGATAGAATATGGCTTTGGGTATATCATAATAAGATCCCCATATACCCCATATTCTATCTACTTAAGGGGGACTATAAGTTTCAGAAGCAGCATCCTCATTATCATTTTCAGAGCTTCCAGACTAGCTTCGCAAGCGAGCCCCCCTTAACCTTAAACCTTTATAGGTGAGTTCGAATCAATTAGAAACACCTCAAAAGCGATTCAAAATCATTCGTGAAGCAGTCGAAATGTATTTCAAACCAATTGAAATCCATTCGAAGGATCCTTCCATTTCGTTGAACCTAGGAGGGTTTTTGGCCCAGAAAGTGGTTGTGCCTTTAAAAGTCGTCTTGTAGCCCAAAACAATTTCTCTAAATCTAGGGGTTTTATTAATGTTGAGGTCGGATTATAGGGTCTGGGGGGAACTTCTTGATGGGGAAAGAAGGGGTGTGGGGGAAACTTCTTTATGGGGAAAGAAGTGAAGGCGGCCGACGGTCAATGGATCTAGTAGCTGCCCCTGCGGCTGGGTTGTATATCAGGCTCCTCTGCAGGTTGCAATGGAGCGGCAGCTCCTGTATGGGGTGGCCTACCCATGAACCCTTGCAACCATTTTAGCAGAAGTCCTGCACCCCCCCAAGATCTGTATACTCCCTTGGGAACCAGGAATACCCAGAAAGTAACGTACTTAGCGCTACTAAGGCTGTATAGAGCCATGCAAGAGATCCTCTGCCTTGCCAACCCCTCATTTGCTCCTTGAGGCTTCGGTCCCTGTCGCATGGCGCCCACGTGCCTTTCGCCCACCTGGGCCACTAGGTTGCCAACGGTATAGGGTTCGCAGTTTTCACGGTTTAGGGTTTAGGGCTTAGGGTCTCAGGTTTAGGGTTTTGGTGCTTAAGGTTTGAGTGCTTAAGGACGTTGGACGGAGGAAACCTTGCACTACCCGATATAATGTTGGACCCTCTTTAAAGAGTAGGCTAACAATAGCCTCCTCAGAAAGATGGAATTAAGGATCCTCAACAAAGGCCCTCAGCCTCCCGCGGTTCTGAGGTTTCTGTGGATTGATTTAAACGGGAGAGTGGAGAATCTTTCCAAAATTATTAAGGGCCCTAAATCAAAACACTTTATAGGCGACCCAATCATTGCCCTGGTCATGAATAAGCAGGCCCCAAAACAAGGGAGGTCCAACATTAACCGCAACTGTGGTAATTGCAGCACATTGAGCATCCCAATTTGTGCAAGATCTTCTGCATCCAACGCGGGCGTCCTCCGAAATCAGTTTACATTTTTTCCTTGTAGACCATCACTCCAGAGGTATAGAGGACATGATCCAAAATCTAAACTCCTTAAAGGGGGTTATATAGGGATTATATAGGGGACTATGATAGAGGGCATCTTAGGGGGGATACTAGGATTTAGAGTTTAGACTATAGCTCACATAGGGTCCTGGTAAAGGTCTTAGTATCAACCGCAGCATGCCCCTCGATGCGCCGAAGATCCTGAATCCTGATGCCTGGACCAACCCGTAAGCTCAAAACCCTTAAGCCAAGAGGGCGTAGGGTTGAGGGTGTAGGGGTTAGGGTTTAGGGTTGAACCACGTGAGCTTACTGGCTCTCAGCAGGGAATGAGGGAGTATAGTCTCAAGGGACGATATTCCCTCATTCCCTCCGAAGAACCAGTAAGTAGGGTTTAGGGCTTAGGGCGCTCATGGGGGTTTTCCAAGAGTGTAGGGGCCGCAGCATGTACTCCCAACTACTATCGCCTGTATATGGGGACCCATCCAGAGGGAACCCCTGATTGTAGGAAGCCCTAATCGCAAGCCAAGACTCCTAGATGGTTTTTATCTAGCCTTTACACTTTAAACTAGGCACCACGTCATATCCCATGGGCTAGACTCTTACGACTACTATTCTAAGTCGCAGGAATGTTTTTAGTAATGTACCTAGTTAGCCCCTCAACACCAAACCGCTATATCGTCCTGGTTTCACGTTTATTTTCCATGATTTTTTCCATTTTCGTTCCCATTTTGTTCTCCTAAACCAACTGTAGGCTATATTTGACCCCTAAACCCTAAACTCTAAACCCTAAACCATCCTAAACCCTAACCCTAAACCCTGACCTTCAGAACAGGCTTCACTTAACCGTTAAAATTCCGAAGCTAAGCCTTCAAGGCAACAACCGCGTCACCATGTACCCTGAGCTGCAAGCAGAATAGGGCTTCGGAATTTGGGTTTTAGGCACCTGAACCCCAAACCCTAAACCCCGAACCGTAAACCCTAAACCCCGAACCCTAAACCGGGTTTTAGGCTTCCGGGATCTTAGGGTTTCAGATCCTGGGCTCCGAGGTTTTTGTTTTTTTGGTGTTGGGGTGAGATTTCAGTGTTTGCTTTTTCTACAGATTCTGGCTATTGAGTGTTGGGGTTTTTTATGGCTTGGGGGCTTAGGGGGGCTGAAGGGCTAGCATGTTCAGAGATTCTCGGTTTTGGGTTTTGGGTTTGGGCTGTGGGATTCTAGTTTTGTTTGGGTGGAGGGATGTAGAATGTAGGGTTTTGAGATTCTGGGTTTAGGATTTAGGGTTTGAGGAGTCAAGGTTTACGGGTGTAGAATTTCAGGATTTAGGGTTCTGAATTTCGGCTTCAGGGTTTAGGGTATTGGGACTTGGGGTTCAGGGTTTTAGGATTTAGGGCTCAAGGTCTTCACTTAGCCAGATTCCAAAATTTGTGGCCCTGAGTTTTCACCTCATCTACTACCCTCCCCCCCCAAAATAATCACTCCACACACACAAGTCCTTAACCCTGAGCCCCAAACCCCAAACCCGAGGGGCTGGAGCCCACATGTGATGACGCCACTCTGGAAGGGTCTCTTCGGGAAGCTTGACTGACCAGTTGCTTCAATCTTTGGAGACTGTTCGGGTTTCGGCTTGGGATGTGCAAGTTCAGGTGGAGGGTTTAGGGCGCAGGGCTTACGATTTGAGGGGATTGGGGTGTAGGGCTTAATTAGTGCTTGAGGCTTGGGGCGGGGGTGTGCCGCATCATGCTTTTCTTCAGGATCCCGGGCATACAGAGGGATTTAAAGACAAAAGCCCAGCGTCGGAATCATCATGTCAGGTTTGTTGGCATGTAGTCGGATCGTGCCATGAACTATTACGAAGAGCTCAGCCTTTGATTGGGAGCGCATAGCTTAAGCGAAGTGCAAACGTCATACTTCTACCGCAAAGTTGAAACTTGAAATCTCAAAGCTTTTTCCCTACCCCCAGAGGAGCAGCATCGCACCAGCTGCTGGAGAAGTGAGCACCTACTGCTGCTCCCACTTTGTTGTGTCACGTGACCGGGCGCCTCCGCGTGATTAGCTTCGCCTAGACCCTAAACCTAAACCCGTTGTATGTCATTTTCCGAACATAGCCGCAACCCGACCTCAAACCGAAGCTTTCAAACCTTGAACCCATTGCGAAGCATCTGAAGCCATAGGTGCAAGATAAGTTTTTTTTTTTTTTTTCTCGCAGGGGTTTGGGGAGGTCTAGAAAACCATAACGGGAGGTACAGGGGACTATGCATGCGCACTTGTGCAGAGTAAGTGGTGTCAAACCAACCTACTCAAACCAGGTGTTCAGAAGGTACCTCAATCTGTCCCCAAGAACCAAGAAGCCATCACCAATCACCTCCGCCCTGATACTAACGTGTAATGGTAGTGTATTGGGTGGTGTATCCTGGGGAGGGGATTATGGTGGAGGCCAAGGGTGTGGAGTTGTGGGGTTAGGATTAGCGTGAAGATCCTGAGGACCATCTCCTGACCTCTTCATAGGCAAAGAATGAAGAAATAGACCCTTCTAGTATAGGGCGTAGGGCCTAGGGCTTAATTACGGCTTAGGGTTGAGGGTAGGGATTGGAGGAATGGATCCTCATAGTAGTCCCTATAGAACCTCAAGAATACAGTAAGTTCCATGTCTTTTAGTACCTGCTAACCAGAGGTTCAGGGTTTGACGAGGGTTTAGGGATAATACATGGAGCGTGGCAATGTCACATGCTTCCAGCCGTGGGCCCTAAGCTCGAACAATTAAGCCCCCGACCCGAAACCCTACCTGAAGGTTCATGAAACCTAGTAACTTCTTATAACTGGGTTCGTAGCCATACTTATAACCACTAACTAGACTTACGTAGGTTGCATCAGTTAAGCGTAGAGTTATAGGCCCAGTTACAAGCCGTGAAGAAGGTTCTCCCCTAAACTACGGTTCTTTCAGGTAGTAGCAGCCCTAAACACGAAACCCTAACACCCCCTAAGCCCCCCTAAAAAACTTCCCAAAATCGCCCAAACCCTAAACCCTAAACCTTGACCATGAAAGAAGGTTCTACAGCGCCCAAAGAGCTTTTACTATCGGGCGTGGAAGTTCCTCACATCTTCTGCGCCTAGACTTTAGGGTTCAGGGTTTAGGGTCTGGGGTTGCAAGTCCAGGGGCTATTCTAGGGTTTACGGTTTTGGTTTTGGGTTTAGGACTTTGTTAGCCTAGACCCCAAGCCTTTTTAAACTCTAAACCCGAAAGCCTTAATCGCAACCACTCAAACTTAGAGACTCCGGGCAAGGTTTACGTAGGGCTCCACCTCAATGCAATTTTTGCGAGAAGAGGAAGGTTTAGGGTTCAAGGTTTAGGGTTTAGGGTTGGTGGCTTCATGGGGTCTAGCGCCCATCATGAAGCCTATGCCTAAAACCCGAAATCCTGCGCCACATGTTCGGTCGTGACCAGGGTAATTTAATGGGGATCCTCTCGAATTCATTTCTTCGTGATTGCGCGGGTGTGAAGAGCGCAGTGAAGGTGTGAAGTTCAATATTCCTGGAGTTAGGTAAGGCTTGGTCTACAGCTGTTTGGAAGATGTTTCTTGAACTCAATGGGGAGAAGCGTTGTGCTTGGTGAGAGATTTCGCTGCACTACACTACGTGAAGTGTACGTACATCTCTCTCAAACCCCACCATGCCAATTAGGCTCCCCTACACCCTAGACCCTGAACCCCCAGAAGCTTCGTCCTCAAACCCTGAACCTGTACTACATACGAGCCATAGTCTAAACTCCTTAAGGCGGGGGGTATATAGGGCATTATATAGGGGACCATCATGGGGGTTAGTAAGGGGATACTAGGAGTTTAGACTATGGTACATAATCCAGACACCTGATTAATAAGCTCCTGCCCTGAATAGGGATTATAATAGGGATCCGAGTATTTAGGCCCTTAAACGGAGAGGGTTTATTAGTGACCCTAAACCCTAAACCCTAAACCCTGAACCTTAAACTGGGTCTACATTATTGTCCTTGAGGGTTGGGGGTGGCCCAGCCTGTTTTGTTGATCTCCAAGGAACGCCCGTGTTCAAGATACCTTCGGTGGCTGGCACGGGGTTTAGGGTTTAGGGTTTGAATCCCCAAAATATTGTAAATATTGGGTATGGGGTAACCCTAAACCCTAAACCCTATAGGAAAGAT